TGATGATGCCCAAGCATCTGTGAGATTTATTCAATCTCCTACTCCTAAGCCTGCAATTTACCCTAGATTAGAGATGGACTCCTCCACAGGAATCTTGTCCATTTGCTGATCACTTTCTGAAAAGGAATTTGGCTGGAAAAGACAAACAAAAAAGAGAATCAGAGGCCAGAAATTCTTTTTACAATTTCTCTATTGCCAAGATGACCCATATAAAAACACGGGTACAATAATGGCACTCTCTTTGACGCAATTTTACATACTGCGCGTCCAACATCTCTTTAAACGGATTAGTGTCCTCAAGGACCATTTCTTCCTCCTTGACGTTTTTGACGGGCTTATCCGTCTCTTCCAGCCCCAACAGATCTACCACTGGCTGGGCTTCCGGATCCTGCTGATCCTCAGGCGTCAGCATGCGCACCAACTCCCTCATGTACGATGACTGTACAAAAAGAAGAAGAAAAAGCCCCAATCAAAGCATCAAAAAATTATTGCATGTGCTGCTTTGTAATTACATGCTATTTGTTTACCTTGTCTAAATGTTGAAACTCTTGGGGATCTAGCCCTGATATCTGCATAGTTTTGAGAGAAAACTTCAAACTCTTCATCATCAGAATCTAGCCCATTAAAAAATATGTTGGGCATAGATCCTACTATGCATTCTTTAACTTTAGCTTTATCTAATTTTAGAATTCTTTTCTTTCTCTATGTTTGAAAGGCATGCACAAAAAAGCAAAGCAAGCATGGAAGCAAAAGCATTGGTAATCATTTTTATTAAAACAAAGAAAAAACTGGCTAACCTTGTTCCTGATGAACTTGACAAGCCAAACCAAAAAGACAGCCATAGATGTGGCTCCAGCCCCACCAAGGCCCATAAAAACCAGGACCATGGCCGTCCGAGGGTCCACGTCCGCCTCGACGTGTGCAACACCATGTTTGATGTTGACCGTCACCTCCGGCATTGACGACGGTGCCTTGATGACGTGTGGCACCTCTTGGGCCACCACGACGCTTTGCTGCGTTGAGGGCGGCGCCCGAACCATGAAAGGCGTTTTGCTCGCCGGCACGTGGACGACCGCCAGGTTGGCCGTTGGCGCCACTGGGCGAGGCTCATCAGTACATACAAAATTTTTATTAATATCTGGTGAAGGAAAACTATTTTTTTGTATAGTGTAAGGTGTTGGCTATGTGTTATGATGCTATATGGAATGAGATATGTGTTGTGAGTATTGTTTTTGTAATGTTTATGCTTGCGTGGAAAAGCTGATAAAGCAAACTCACCAACCACCAGCAGAACTGCCGCCGTCAAGACCTCCGGCTCGGGTGGCACAACTTCCTCGCACCACCTCCAAGGTGTCACGACACAATCCATGTTGGCCCAACGCCCGACGCAGACCGTCGGCGACAGCAGCTTCACCTCCTACAAACAAGACTGGCTGTCATACATGTCACTTGTTCCATTTCTTCACTCGACACTCACCTTGAGGTCCGCCTGCCTGACGCAGTCCAAGAACAGCGTCGCCCCGACAAATGTCACGTGGCGCCCGTAGCCGCCGGCGCCCCTCACCTCCTCGCCGCAGACGTCCCGACACATGAACGCCCCGTCTTTGGGACCGCAGTCCGCCCCAGCAGCCACAACACCAACGACCAGCAACACCAGAAGCCTCAGGAACGCCATCTGTGAAAATTTCAAAAAATTGTCATTTCTGAAAAGAAAATTTTTTTTTGGCACTCACTTTTCACTTGCTGAATTTTCTTCTTGATGAAGTTGAAGATCCCCAACAGCACAAAGTCACTAGCCAATCGAACGATTCGCAAAACAATGTTTGAGGCCACCAGCTCCAGGAGACCCATCAACTTCCAACAATTTCGTTTGACAGGAAGGCGTTACGACGCTGCATCGTTCAAGACAAAAATCGTTAAAATTAACAACCAAAAATTTTGAAAAAATTAATATAAGTTAACAACACTCACCAAAGAATACCGCCAAAATTTCAGGCCCAACGGATCATCCGTTAACAAATGGCACTCGATGCCAACTGAAGAAGATATGTTCATTCTTCTTGATCCGAACATCTGTCGGATCCATGCCTGATTCCTCCTGATGGATAGCAATANATCCGAACATCTGTCGGATCCATGCCTGGTTCCTCCTGATGGATAGCAATAACAATTGCCATTTCCATAAAAGCCTTTATGGCTCCTGAAAGAAACAGCAACAGAAAATAGGGCACTGTCGCACTGAGTCTCGCACTCGGTTCACTTGTTGTTCCTTTTTTCTGCTGACTTTCTCAAAAGGATGGAACCTTTTTTTATTTGTGCTGGGTGAGTTTGTTATCTTAGAAATACAGTAACTTACAAAAGACCCTTTTTAGTAGTTTCAGAAGAAACCTTTTAGAAAGCCTAGAAACGGGAAATTGCTAAAGCTAAGATAATCGCTGCAATTTCCTGGATGAGGAGTCTTGACAACTTCTCATGACAAGTTACAATAACCTTCCTCAGGTAATTAAAGTACAATCAATCCTGAAACCCTGGTGGGCTCAACTCTTTACGAAATTCAAGTGATATTTGTTTCTCTAGTTCTTGTTGCGCATGGTCATTATCACTGATGTGTAACCAGCAGAATTATATTTCACTCAGAGCAATTTCCACCTTGTTCATTTTGCGGATTGGGATTTCCGCTATTAGGGTTGCGATGATTGTTTCCCTTGTTTTCCCCATCTAGACTGGCTAGGTTTAAATACCCCTGCTTGGTGAAATCTGAGGAGAGATCTCATCCGAGCTTCATACAGTAAACTCCATAGCCAAACTCTGTTAAAGCTCAAACCTATTTCGAAGTAAAGTACAAGCTGGACTTGTGTGTTTGTGTATTTGTTGTATTGAATGTTTGTATGTAGATGAGAATATTGTATAAAGAATATTAATCCAGAATAAGAACTT